CAAATATTCATATAATATGCACAGATAGCACGTAATTTTATATAAAATACTTCATATCTATGTGTAAGATTAAAGTAACTATGCACTCACCTGAAAAGGTGGTGAATCCGAACTCAGACAGTGTTTCGCTTCTTAAAAACAATTTCCTTCGACGAAACCTAGTATTATTACCACTAGACTTTAGTCTATTATTCGTCGAGACTAATTAATAGTCTAGCTATTATTACTATTATATAAGCGTCAAACAATACTTATATAACCCATAATAATAGCCCAAGTACTTATTATAAGTTGATAATAACGTTACTATAATTAAATAAATAATATATTAAAAATAGCGTAGGCGTAGCTCACTTACAACGGGTTTTATAGAAAATCGGGCTTTGCTTGGAGCAGCGTTCTCGAGCCAAAAAGCTCTTCTTCTCGGAGCCGTCGAGCACTCCGGGGCTTCCGCCTCGTGCTAGGGAGGTTCCCTAGGCTTTTCGGGGGATTTCAGGGCTAGAGAGAGTAAAGAGAAGAAAGAGCGGAAAAGGTGTGAAGAAAATGAGGGTGGGAGAGGTGGTATTTATAGGGTGAAATGTGGCTGAACTTGGTGCCACATGTCACCATCTGGTGGCAAGCCTTGGGGAGAAAGCAATGGCCAAGATTGTGCCACATCACCCATTTTCACACAACACACTTTCGACTTCTAAAATCCATAACTTTCACATATGACCTCCGTTTTTGACGTACTTTATATCCACACGTAGGTAATAATAAGATCTACAACTTTCATTTTGACTCCGTCGGCTAATTCTCGATCGATCTTAAATTTAACAGTACAAGGAGATTATACTGTTAAACGTCTGCGTAAAATTCATAACTTTTACATACGGACTATGTTTTCGTCTGTCTTTTCACCGTTGATTTCCTATTAATGAGATCTTCAACTCTCATTTAGGTTGCATAAGCTAAAAACCGCTCAAACTAAAATTCGAGTTTCGGACCGTGCACTGCTAAGCCGAATCTTAGAAAAATTATAACTTCCTCATACGAAGTCAGATTTGGGCGTTCTTTTTATGGATGTTCTCGGTTTAACATATACTACAACTTTGGTTTAGATCACTAAGGCTAAAAAGTCTTTCATCGTAAATTCACTATTTACGTCTCCCAGTACCGTGTCGGTTTTGCCGTAAAACTTCGGCGAACAATAACTTCTTCGTTGTAACTCGGATTTTGGCATTCTCTATATCTCCGGAATCCTTGTTTCGACCACTACAACTTTATATAAAGATAACGGGATTATCTCATACTTTAATTTTGATGCTTATTTTTATTCTTTATTCTTTATACATTTATAATTAAATAATAAGAACATAAATACACATACTTCACATAATACTCAAATATTTCATCTTTATTACTTCAAAAAGAGTTACAATAGTTGACATAGAGTATTACATTGTCAAAAATGCTTAGCTATGAAACCCGGACGTTACACTAAACACGGCGTGTTGGAAGCTGGGTGTAACACCGTAAATTTTCAAACAAAATTTTCATTTTAAAACACAATAAATCTCATGTATATTTTCTCAAATATCACAAATATCTCAAACGTCAACAAATCCACAAGTAACAGACTGTTTAGACAACCGCCCATTGAAACCCCTATCTAACATTGTTATAGAAGACATACACGGACTACATCTTCGTCATATAACTCATTAAGTGAATGTTAAACACCTTCATAACATGGTCTAATTTGACCGAGACATTTATCGGGACCTTAGGAAAGGTACGGGAACGGAAGGTGGAGCCGGATGCAGAAGTAGAAAAATAGTCACAAAACCAAAAACCGGTGATGAGACAAAATTCTTTCTTCCCGAAAGACAACTCGTAACCCCCAATCTCAAAAACCAATTCCTCTACCTGGCTTCGAGAGTCGGTGACAACTTCGTGACAAAAGACGTAATGTAGAAGCAAAGGATCCCCATCTGCGTTCAGAATGTTTAACCACCTCCCAAAACATGTATTCCAGAACTTAGTCTTGCATCCGAGTCTATCTTTCAATGCTACAAGAATTTCCCCGCCGATTTTGGGTTTACATGAGAGTGTAATTGATGCATAAAAAACCATATCGTGCCGCACAAATAACATAGGTGTTATCACTTCATTTCGAAATGGAAATGACCAATATTACAGACCATTTTTGGAGCAGTTCCGGATATGTTCCACATGTTCCAGACGAGTTCATCATGTTTCGGAACCGTTCCTCGCGTTCCGGAGGCTTTCAGAATGAAATTTTAAGATCCATAACATGACATTTCAATGTAAATCAATAATACCTAAACATCTAAACTATTTTTCAGTTGGTCCTACAACATTGACACATTTAATTTAAACTCCGGGACGTTTTCAGCTCATTCCGAAGGTGGTCTACGAATTCCGGAACAGTAACAATAGAAAAATAAGAACCTTAAACAAACAAAGAAACTATGTAAAGATAAAACGAAGAACGTACCTGTAAAATAACGGGGTTGTAATGCTTGTTTCCCATGTTGGAGATTAGTTATGTGTATAGGAAAATAGCAACAGAGAAATCTACTAAAATAAATGAAGATCAATTTTACCATATGTCAATCTCTTATAAGTTTTAATATTTATCATGTTGTGATATTTTTAAAATAAAATAAAATCCACATGTTATAGTAGATTAATCACATATTATTGTATCAAATAAAAACTAAGATTGTTAGAATTATTAAGGAATGTAGGAAGTCAAATCAAACGTCAATGATAATTAAAAGCAAATCTTAACCATAAATACATTCCTATTCCTAAAATAAAAGAAATTATTTATAGAAATTTATTTGAAACTAACGTATATAATATAATATATAATATAAATAATATATACTAGTTAGTAATGTTTATTTGTATGTTTTTTAAATTATATATTATCTACGAAGAGAATTTATCAATATTCGAAATTTGATCTTAAAATATTACTTGTAAAAAACTGTGTTTTCACCTTTCACACACAAGCAATGACAGTAAATCGATCGATTAGGGTTCCTAATCTACCGTTCGATTTCCCGAAGATACAATAATTGGAGGTTTACTCCGACTTCTTTCCCAGTCCAAATCGATTTCATCGTCAACAATTGGAAAATCAATTATACTTTCATATACATAACGAATCTCCATTTGTAGGTTTCTGTTTACATTCTGTTCTGGAGAGAGAGAGCGCAAGAGCAACAACAAGAGCAATAAATCGTTGTCTGTGGACGCTCACATCTCCATTGCCGATCGCCTTGCTGCCTTTCATCAAGTCCTTTTCGGTCACCCTTGTGTTAGATCTCCTTCGATCAGGTAATTCTTCATATGGCCGTTGTCGACATCACCGGAGCGTGTTGGATTTCGTGTTTGCTTAATTATTGATAGGATTTTGGTTGCCGAACTGATGGTTAACTTGCTTATTTATATTAATCCGGTTTTGTTGGTAGAGATCAAGTTTAGCTGTCTGGCGATTGACTGATAACGTCATTTTAAATTTGATTTCATCTTGTAGTCTGTATTAGTGCATGCTAGCAGCAGTTGAAAGATAATTGATTCCGCTATTGAATTGTTTGGTAAGTTCCATGGATACAAATCTAACGAGTTAAACCTCAAAACTTGCGACTTTTATGTAGGAGGCACGGATTCAATTTTTCCTAATTTTAATAAAAAAACTGATTTGGTTACAAAATTTAATTGATAGAAAGTATCTACTCACTTGTTAGGTTCGTGCTGAATTGAACATTATATCATGCCAAATTTGATCTTTCATTTCATACAGTTCTTCTTTATGTAAGTTTACAACTACTTCTGACCAACATTAGCCCTACAATTTTAATCTTTATGATTGCTAAGCTTGGAAAGCCAGTTCTACTTCTACCCAAACTTATCAATAAGTTGTTAAAAATAGCAAAGCAAAATACACTTTATTAGTTGTGGGTGCATGAATTCTGGTGGTTTTGTTATTAGATCTCCATTTAGTTCTAGTCTTCTAGATGTGAACTCATTTCTCATTAACTGCAGTTCTTAGAATAATCGGTTCTTTGCTACCCATATAACATTGTTACTAAACTTGCATAGGCAGGAGGTGCTTTTTTAATGTTAGCGGTCCACCAAGTTGCATTGTGGATCATAGATTGACATGAGTTTACTTTTACTCGACAGTGTTTCTATATAAATTCACTTCGTATATTTGCATTCCCGCATAAGCACCATGAAGTACAAATCCTACTAAGTTGCACCTTATTTTTGGGAAATGATGGAGTACATGATTATAGGATTCCAGGCCTAGATGCTTAGACCTCTGGTTTTAAAATCCATAAAAATATATTGATAAGTTTGGCTAGATGCTCATTCTAGCCCCATCCAATAAATCTACCGAAAAGCAACATGTGTATGCAAATGACCTCTAGCAATTATGCTCAAATCAACATGTTTGGAGACTCTAGTCAAAGAAATTCAACGAAGAGGGGAAAGAATTGTACTTGCACGAAGCAATAAGTTTTGTGAAAGTGACATGATTGGGTTGAAATATGTGATACCTCCCTCCTCTTCCCCCAAATCCTCTCAAAATGCACTTTGTGTTTTGTTCAACATTGCAATCATCTACTGAAGATGGCTAGCATTTTGTTGTTACCTAGATGGTTGAGAAGGCACCTTGCTCATTGCCATATAAAAACATGATTTATGGAAAGTGAATATGTCGAGATATAATCATATTATATAAATATACAAAATTATAAAACAAGAATTACTAAAATTTAAGGGCTTTTTTGTATATCAGCTATACTTCCCCTGTCTGTGTATGCATAATCCATGCATGTCTATGCTGTGTGTTAGATACAAAATGATGTATAATATAATTTTGAGCTTCATCAAAAAATAACACGCATGAAATTGCATGATCTTGCAGATTATTTATGGAAGCCTAACAATAAAGTGATACAGTTCAACATAAGCAAGCAATGGGGACTGAAAATCCAAACCGTGTGAATACTTATCCAGGGCCAACTCCTACTCCTTTTGCAGCTCCTCGAAGCAACATGCCCATTTCTTCTTCTCATCCTGTGGTTGGATCAGAGGCCTCTGCTTTCAGGCCTACATCAGTCCCTGCAACATTAACTACTCCATTTTCTTCTCCTGGGCCCACGGTTGGATCCGGGACTCCTGGTTTTAGACCCATGCAACCAGGTAGGCCTACTCCTTCATATGGCCCACCAACCACAGGACCTACACAACGTTTCCCAACTCCACAGTTCCCCTCAGCAGCTCAACCATCCATGCCACCAACTTCCGGTGTGGGGCAGCCCATATTCCCTCCAACAATGAGACCTCCACCTCCTGGCCATGTTCCACCAATGTCAACCTCCCTAAATCGTCATCCACCACCAGCACCAATGGGATCACCACCCCAAAGCTTGTACAGTGTTTCTTCTAGGCCAAACATGCAGCAACCTACACCCCCAACAGGACCACCATCTTCTTTACCTGGCTATATACAGAGTAACACAGTAACATCACCACCACCACCGCCACCACCAGGTTCTCATCAAGGAGGCTATACCCCTCAGCCAATAGCATCTTCTCCTTTTTCTTCTAATCAAGTAGGTTATACCCCTCAGCCAACCACATCTTCTCCTTTTCCTTCTAATCAAGGAGGTTATACCCCTCAGCCAACTGCATCTTCTCCTTTTTCTTCTAATCAAGGAGGTTATGCCCCTCAGCCAACCGCATCTTCTCCTTCTCATCAAGGAGGTTATCCCCCTCAGCCAGCCGCAGCTGCTCCTTTTTCTTCGCATCAAGGTGCTTATGGACAACCTCCACCAGGAGCATCTCAACCAGGAATGTATGCAGGAGGCTCCGCACCTCCAATGGGAGCTATGGCGGGTGGTTTGGTAGAAGATTTTAGCTCACTTTCTCTAGGATCTACACCTGGATCATTTGATGTTGGGCTTGATAGTAAAGTATTGCCAAGACCACTGGATGGTGATGTAGAACCAACTGCTTTTGCTGGGATGTATCCCATGAATTGTGATTCTAGATTCTTACGACTTACCACTAGTGCTATACCAAATTCACAGTCTCTGGTTTCAAGGTGGCAATTGCCTCTTGGAGCAGTTGTTTGTCCCCTGGCAGAAGCTCCTGAGGGGGTGGGTGTTCCTGCACTCAAAGCAACTACATAGATGTTTTGTGTGGTATTCAATAAAACAATTGTCTAACTATTCTGCTGTTTATTGTCCAGGAGGAAGTTCCAATAGTTAATTTTGCTACAACAGGCATTGTGCGTTGTAGAAGATGTCGCACATATGTGAACCCGTATGTGACTTTTACGGATGGTGGAAGAAAGTGGAGATGCAATATATGTGCTTTGCTTAATGATGGTAATACTTTTAGTTCCTTTCACAATTACATGAACTGTTTTTCAATATTGGTGAGTCTTGATTGAAACAGTACACTGACAATATATTATCGATGTATGGAACTGTTTCTCCATAATGTGCCAAATCATTATTTTTATGCTGCTTCATCATCAGTTTAGAGAAGATTATTGATTCATCACTGTCATGACTCATGTATGAAACCTTGTTACCATTATGATATTCATGCTTAATAATTTCTATCTGTAATATATTATACAGTGCAAAATGATTATTTTGCTCATTTGGATGCCACTGGAAAAAGAGTTGATCTGGATCAACATCCCGAGCTTACAAAGGGTTCTGTGGAATTTGTTGCTCCTGCTGAGTACATGGTTCGGCCTCCAATGCCACCACTATACTTTTTCTTGATCGATGTATCGATATCTGCAGTTAAAAGTGGAATGCTTGAGGTAAGCTTTTTCTTTAGATATATTCTTGGAAGCATGTATATATTGTTCTTGGCTTGTACATGTTATGTAAGAATAGGTGCCTACTACCTACAGTTATGTTTGCAGGCATGAAATTGATGTTGTGCAGTGATGCAACACCAGTTGTTTTGCTGGAACCTTGATCAATTTATGAACAAATGTGTTATGGGACCCAAGGGGATGCAAGTTCTAGAGTATGCAGGCTTGGTAGATTAGAATAATCATCTTTATAGTATTTTTTGTGTGTGTTGAAAACCTAGGAACACAAATTATGAACCTAGTTGTCATATTGTTAAAAAATTTCAAGATGCTAAATACATATTGCATGAAGAACACAATCAAATTGGGCTGCAGAGTAAACCAAGATTCTGTTTCTTTTTGACTTACTGTAGAAAGAACGACTTATTTATATCAAATAAGTATTTCGTAAATGTATAGTTTTTTTATTTTTTATTTTTTTTTATATCATTTAGAATTACATGCTGAGCAATTGTCAAACAGACAGTTCAACAGTAATTCTAAATATAAGGGTGAAATGGTCATTTGTTGTCATTCAGCCCAAAAAAGAAATAGTATCCATTCATACAACACTTCCTCCAGTTAGATATCATACATCATTTAGTCAGACAAAAACAACATATAATGAAGAAGAAAAGTGACAAGGCCTAAATGATTTGCATTTAAAGGTAGGAGAACCAGTACATAAATTCAAGCATGGAAGTAAAGTATTGATTGCATATAGAGTTTCATGACAATAGTCTTGAGCTGCCTCATATTGTTACATACTTTAAGGATCATGAATTCATGACCATCAAGGTTATTCACTTATTTGTAAATAACAACCAAAAACTTGGGGGCAATAAAGTCATGAACAGGAAAAGGTTAAATTGGTCATTAAGCAGACTGAAATTTTTAAGACGTCGTCCTCCTTAATTGACCTTGGAATCCTATTCAAACACATTGACTCTTTGTTTCACTGATTCATATATGATCCAAGTATCAAATTCCCATGATAACATTTATGCATTTCTTTTTGTTAGGTGATGGCACAAACTATAAAATCTTGTTTGGATAAGTTGCCAGGCAGCCCCAGAACACAGATTGGGTTCATTACTTTTGACAGCACCATTCATTTTTATAATATGAAGGCAAGTGATTTATAGTTTAACTGCCTATACATTATACATTATTCGTTATTATAATGTTTAACTGATTTTGAACTTAAAAAACCACCCTTGTTGTTTTTCTTTTTCCAGTCATCTTTGACACAGCCTCAAATGATGGTCGTCTCAGATTTGGATGATATTTTTGTTCCATTGCCAGATGATCTCCTTGTCAACTTATCAGACTCTAGACCTGTGGTTGAGGCATTCCTGGATAGCTTGCCTTCCATGTTTCAGGACAATGTCAATGTTGAATCTGCTTTTGGGCCAGCCCTCAAAGCAGCTTTTATGGTTATGGTAAGAATCTTTCATCCTATATCCTATAACTCATGGAATTCAGTTCTCAACATTTCATTCTTTTAGAAATACTCAAATACCCTTTTAACCCTATAGAGTTTCACAAGCAAACACCTCTTCTCGCTCATCTTCCATCTCCTGTCAACCAAACATGTGATGGAATTGAACTCCTACAAATTCCAATTCCTTTTTACAGATTCCAACTCCTTCAAATGCATTCTGCAACCATCTTACATGTCTTGCGTGATGTAAATATGTATTTTTGTTTATGATGTTTGGCAATTGGTTTTCTGCAATAACATCATTAATAAGCTATGTTTTGTTTTAATTTTTATTCAGAGCCAACTTGGAGGGAAATTGTTAATATTCCAGAGCACTCTTCCCTCGCTTGGTGTTGGTCGTTTGAGGTTGCGTGGAGATGATCTTCGTGTTTATGGAACAGATAAAGAACATGCTTTAAGAATACCAGAAGACCCATTTTATAAACAGATGGCAGCCGATTTCACTAAATTCCAGGTTGCAGTCAATATATATGCATTCAGTGACAAGTATACTGATATAGCTTCACTAGGTATGCACCCACCCATGCACAACTTCTTTCTATATTTGTCTGCTCTCTGGATAAATGGTATTTTAGAAATCGACAACTTCTTTCTGTTCTCATTAAGGCCTTTAAATGAAAAAGAAAATCTCTCTTTACTGTTGTTATATATAAATTTTATGTGTTTTGAGGATCAAGAGTGTTGATTGTTTTACTTTTACATGCATGATGCAGGCACTTTGGCAAAATACACTGGTGGGCAGGTATATTATTATCCGAGCTTCCATTCTGCCATTCATACAGAGAAGCTGAGACATGAGTTGGCTAGAGATCTTACTAGAGAAACTGCATGGGAAGCTGTCATGCGTATCAGATGTGGGAAAGGTTAGTCTACTACTTCCAAAACTATGCCCCTTTTTTCTTTTTCTCTTTTTCCCTATTAAGTGCCATCAGGATAAATAATGGGCAAAAAATATTTGAAAAATAATGACAGCACATTTGGGAAAATGGTTGGAAAAAAATAGAGGGTTTACTGCAAGAAATAGCAATTCACTTCTATTGATTTGTTTGTTATACTATTACAAGTAAAAAAACAGTAGTTATGTACCACTGGTAGTTGCCATTTTCAGTAAAAGACTGATTTCTATTAATCTGTCTCTGCAGGAGTGCGTTTCACTTCTTATCATGGAAACTTTATGCTAAGATCCACAGATCTATTAGCACTTCCAGCTGTTGACTGTGACAAAGCTTATGCAATGCAATTTGCTCTTGAAGAGACATTGCTCACAACTCAGATTGTATATTTCCAAGTGGCTTTATTGTATCCTACTACAATTCTTCAATAATATTTCTGTGAAACTAAACTTTTTCTATAACCCTAGCTTCTAATTCTGAATACTTAACTTAACCACCGAAAGATACACCGCATCCTGTGGTGAAAGGCGTATTAGAGTACACACCGCTGCAGCATCAGTGGTTGCAGATTTAGGAGAAATGTATCGCCAAGCAGATACTGGTGCCATTGTTTCCTTACTTGGTAGATTAGGTAAGCAAAGTCTATATATTTCTCCCGAAAAGGAAAAAAAAGAGATTTTAATTTTTTTTTTTTTAAATGTTTGTGACTGTGCAGCAATTGAGAAATCTTTGACTTATAAATTGGAAGACGCGCGTAACGCAATCCAACTAAGAATCGTGAAAGCTCTAAAAGAATACAGAAAACTTCATGCTGTACAGCATCGTGTGGGAAACAGGATGATTTACCCGGAATCATTAAAATATTTATCTCTTTACGGATTGTCACTATGTAAATCAACCGCACTTCGTGGTGGGTATGCGGATGCACAACTTGATGAAAGATGTGCAGCAGGCTTTACCATGATGGCTTTACCCGTTAAAAAAATGTTAAAACTCTTATATCCTAGCCTGTTACGAGTCGACGAGTATCTCGTGAAGGTAATTTGGCATTTTTTAGTTGAGGGTTTCAGTAGTACTTGGTGATGCTTTATGGTTTATGTATGGTATACGCAACGCAGGCACCTAGAGTTGATGGCGAATTTGAGAGAATTTGTAAACGGCTTCCACTTGTTGCAGAGAGTTTGGATTCACGAGGGATTTATATATTTGATGACGGTTTTCGTTTTGTGGTGTGGTTCGGGCGCATGCTTTCGCCTGATTTAGCCAGGAATCTAGTAGACGAGGATTCATCTGCTTCGGACTTCTCCAAGGTATGTTTGACCTAATATTTTAATTTTTAAAATATAATTTAACAATAATAATAATACAACTGATTATGATATGGGGTTTTTAAGAGCCAGGTCTGTCTGAATGAACGTGAGAATGAATTGTCGAGAAAGCTGATGGGGATATTAAAGAGACTCAGAGAAGGGGACGCGTCTTATTATCAATTATGTCACCTTGTTAGACAAGGGGAACAGCCTCGGGAAGGTTTCTTTTTGCTGTTGAATCTGGTTGAGGATCAGGTTGGTGGTATGAATGGTTATGCTGATTGGATAATTCAGATCCATCGACAAGTCCAGCAATAATATCCACCAGGTAAGCTGATTTCCTCTCTCTACTTTTTTATTTCATTTTTTTTTTCTTTTTCATATATGCTGACTGATTATCTGCTGGATTAACAGGGGGACTTCAAATCAAATACATGAATTTGAATTTATTTTTATCACCGTTTGAGAGTTATGCCAAGGACATCTTTTTATCGGGAACTTATCTATCTATATCTAATATCTATGGTGCTGATAAGACGTCATCCTGTTTGTTTGCTTCTTCACCATGGATTTTTGTTTCACTAGGCTATATTTTTAAGTTATATATATATACACTCATACACGATTGTTTTCTTTTTCTTGAACCAAGGGTTTAAAGCCAATCTAGGCATGGCCCAACATAAAACCTTTGTTTTGTTGGTTGATGAATTTTCATAGGAGATATGAAACGAGAGCGTTTTTTTTTTTTTTTTTTGCAGGAGGGTATTGTGTCATTTGATTTAGAGTAACGTTTGATAGACTAGTGTTGCTTTTTTGTTGCCAAAAACCTTGTGTGTAATTCGTTTTTCCTGTCATAAAATTGTGGTCTAGATACGTAAACGTTTACTTTTTTTTGGTAAATTAACCATTAAATATTGAGACAATTGTGGATTGTATATTTGCATATACAACTTTCGTTTTTCTTGAAAATTGATTTAAGATGGTTGATTGATATCAGTTATATCATTTTACTAAATGAATCTATTAAATTAGATATTGTTTTCTTTTGTAGAGACAGTTTCTAGATTTTGTATATGCGTTACTATGAACCAACTTAGTATGAGTATTTGTTATTTTGCTATTTCTTTATTTTGTTATTATTGAGATAGAATTTAAGATAGCTGATTTATATAGATAAATTCTACTAGAGTGTAAGTCATTAAGTATTATATTTTAGTCGCAATTGAAGTAACTTTATGGTACTTGTAACTACAAAGCGTTTTTTTTGGTCTGAAGATTGATTGTAGTTTTTATTAACAATTACATACTGTTAATAAACATTTGAGCATCGAATTCACAAATTAAGTTAAAGCTAGTATATTACATACCTTGTAGCTCTTTCTCGGTTAGTCAAATTCGTTTGTCCAAAGTTGCATGGGCAACTGGCATGAATCTAGATTCTAGACATATTTGTAAATTGCAATCATCTTAATAGGTCACTATTTTATTAGATTCTCGATATGATACTAAGGCCAATGCTAAGCACTCCTATAAAGTAAGCCTTACAAGACAACAAATCCTACTAGTGGCATGTATAACATATATTAGTATAGACAACAAATCCTACGAAGGCAAACTAGTGTTCAAATCTTGATCTTATTATTAGGTAACATTATACAGCGAGAACTAAGTCATTCTAAATATAAAACATATAAGTAAGCATATAAAACCTAAAGGCATGCATACCATGTAACTATCAATGTGTTCTCTGGCTATCTAGTTCATTTAGATCCGAGGGTGTGTGTAGGAAGGATTCATCACTTTTTGCATGTCATGTCAACATTTTTTTTTATTTTTCTTTCTCTCACCAAAATCTAGATTGTGTATTGAAGAATCTCATTTTTTTTAAATATATTTCATACAAATATTATATTCATTTTGTAGAGAATTGAATACCATGAATTTTAATATATTTTTTTTATACTAACCAATTACACAAAGAAAGAGATTGAGGGATAAACTCCGCTCACCCTTTTTCCTTCACCATGGGTATGGTGTTCCAGGATGTGGAGACCTTCCTTCTTTCTTTTCCCGCTGCACATCCACTGGTCTTAAACCAAATATTACATCCGTCCCAAATTAATTGTCCACATTTGATTTTTCCAGGTTTTATTTTTCAACTTTGACCTTAAATATTTTTCTTTTTGATAGATAATACTTGATGCAAAATATATGAATTGATTGTATTTTAAATGTCTTTTTATTATTATAAGTTGACAAAACTGCAAAATTGATCCCTGTGATTTGTAAAAAACTATGGATGAAATCTAAAAAGTTTTCAACTTGTATGGAAGATCCAAAATCAAAAATTTGTTGCGAATTTAATCCCAAAATCAAGAACTTCCTGTAAATTTGGTCCTTAATGGACTTGAAATGATGGTGCTGCCCTTTTATTATTATTTTTTAATATTTTTCATATTAATTTTAATACTTTATTATATAATATAAAAATTAAAAGAAACAAAAGAATGGGCCACTCCTGCATCCCCTTCCCTTCTCTTTCTTCTAACTTATCTTAAAAAACACAGATCGATGCTTCAACAGAGCATCTTCTTCATTTGGATCCTGTAACCAACCATGGATCCCATCACCCCATTATCTGATATGTTCTTTGAGATTAATATGTTTGTTTGTTACAAGACACATATTTCAAAATTAGGAGATACTTCTCTTTTAAGCATTTTATCGAGCACCCAAAGTGCATAGCTCGTCTACCCCATTTGAATGCATATTTATTAGATTATTTTAACCAAATAGATGCAAACTTGTTCCTTCCGCAACCATTCAATTCAAGGAGAATGGCAGATGGAATACGTAATCAAGGATTTAGGGATACCAAATAAAATAGAAGGAATATGTAGACGTCCCTGTTCTTATTCAGGCTTGTGCTGTTATTTTGATTGAAATTGTTGATTGCAGCTGCTGCAGTGGTGGGTTTATTGTGACGAGTTTGACTTGTGAATCTCCAAGCACATTTGAACCTTGATGCTATAGATCGTCTTCTATAGGGAGCGATTGATATGATTTAGTGAATATGAGATTTAATCATGCGTTTCGTGTAATTATAGACTTCAGATACTCTCCCCCTTTTACTGAACGAGCTATGGAGATTTATCAATCCATATTTTTCAAAATAGATATATGTAATTTTACTGGAAGATAATGAACAATAAGAGTAGCAAAAATCTTGTGGAGCTGAATCGAGTATTGGTGATTTCTTAGCAAATAGCATATTTGCGAATAGATCTTTGAAGAAACGAATATTTGCAAGCTTTTTAGGCATGAATATTAGTTCAAAGATATAGTATTTTTGAAGAAAACACACACACATGAAATTTCGGAGAAGAAGATGGTGGTTGGATTTGCAGGTAGAGGAAGAAGAAATGCAGGTAGAAGAAGAAAGTCAAAGAGATAGATGGAGAAAGAAATGGAGGGTACGTATGGATTGTGTGGCTTATGGGATTTTTTTTTCTTTTTTTTTACTATTAAAATATAAAAGAAAATAAAGAAAATGTAAAAAAGAAATAATAAAGGCAAAATAGTCATTTTAACTATTTTAGGACCAAAATCACGAAAAAATCTTAATTTTGGACCTTTCATGTAAGTCGAAATTTTTTTTGGATCTTATCCACAGTTTTTACGGAACCACAATGACCAATTTTAGAGTTTAATCTTATAAGTTTCATCAAGTAATATATACCACAAATAAAAATATTTAAGATCAAAATAGAAGAACAAATACTTCAAACATAAAAAGTGGATAATTAATTTGGAACGAAGCGAGTATTATCTTATACTTATTGAAATACGTATTGTACGGGTCATTTGAAATAATTGTTTAGAAAACACATTTTAAACCCATATATTTAATATTTTGTGGAGAAGTACCCATAACTAGTTATAAAAAAAAGATTATACGGAGGACATATCAGTTAACATGAGAAACAATATGATTAATGTGCATACTATCTAAAACATGATAATATTGTTTTGTAAATATCCTCAAGCATTGTGAATCTGCAAACCTCATTAGGTACTTTCAACCAATCGTGAATGTATGTGCAAATAATAGGCCAAATATAGAAAGCCTAATCAGTAATATCAAAGTAATATCAAGTTTAGACAAAAGGATGAACACATTATATATAACATAAAAGCTTAAAACCTTCGTGAACTGTATATTTTCTTCTCTTTCTTCATTGTATACGAGAGTCTTCGCCTTTTCATTTTGGATACATATCTTTCCTTCTGTTTTTTTTCTTTACTAATATCTTATCAACTACAACCTATAATAGTTTACTAATATCTTATCAACTTTGGGGTACATATCTAACTCTACTAATATTTTATCAACTACAACCTATAATAATTTACTGTTTACATTTTCTATAAGATAAAAATAATATCTTATCAACTTTGGGGTACATATCTAACTCTACTAATATTTTATCAACTACAACCTATAATAATTTACTGTTTACATTTTCTATAAGATAAAAAAAAGGTAATTGATTTTAAGTAAAACAAAATATATATATATATATATATATATAATATATATATGTATATATATATACACAACATCACAATAAGAGTCAGATAAAAAAAAATTACATATTCATATAAACTAAATTAATACGACCTAAATAAAAAAATAGTATTAGAAAACATGAAAGTAATATTCCAACTAAAATTTTCTACGTAGCTAACCACACACACATTTATAAGTTTTTAGACGAACAGGTGTGGGCAAGGGGGCTCGGCGTTATTAGTGACATGACAACTAATAATGGCCCCATGGTGGGAGGAACACCGCCCCCTAGCCGTTATTAGGTGTTACGGTAATACACGTTATGGCCATCGCACGAGGTAACGTTGTGATTTCTGTGTATTTTCCTTCAACGACTACATTTTTTGACCGTTTAAATCAAATGGTAACATGAAAAAAAAAAATCAAGTTTTATATATAATACCATAACCTATATTATTTTTTACCTACATCACACACACTTCTCTACATATTTCTTTCAATATTTCAAAACCAAAATATGGATGAATTTGATCCGGCCCATCCGTACAACGATGATAACAACGAAAATGATTTGTTCGTGAGTATGATGTACCGGTATTATACAAGCAGTCTATTACAGCCATATCCAACTCCATTACTCACGCGACGTGCGGCGTTAAATAGAGATCGTGAGGAAGGGCATAGATGACTACTTAACGATTACTTTGCGGAAAATTGTGTCTACCAACAAAGCGATTTCAAAAAAAGATTTCGTTTGCGAAAAAAAGTTTTGAAAGAATAGGCAACACTATGGAAGCAAGGTATCGTTTGTTTCAACTTTTATAATTTATAAAATATCACTTTTAGATAAATATATATATATAGTTTTTATGTGTTTAATATTTATTTAGGTATCGTTTGTTTACTATTTATTTAGGAATCGTTTGTTTCAACTTTTATAATTTAATAAATGTCATTTTTAGATAAATATAAATATAATTTTTAGATAAATATAAATATAATTTTTACGTGTTTAATATTTATTTTGTTATGAATTTTTCCAAATGAGATATGATACTAGAGGCAAACGAGGATTCACAGGGATGCAAAAATGTGTTGCTGCAATTAAACTTATGGCAATGGGGCAGTCGCCTGATTCTATTGACGATTACATGAGAATGTTTGAGAGGACCGCACAAGAAACTTTGTATTTATTGGCAAGAGGTGTTGTCAAAACCTTCGGTGATCAATACTTGCGCAAACCTTCGT